GTGTGTGTGTGTGTGTGTGTGTGTGTGTGTGTGTGTGTGTGTGTGTGACATTTACCTTGCATTTGAGGAAGAAGTCCTTGTAGCCCCCTTTGAGGATGTAGAGCTCTGGGTAATGCAGGCTGGGATACTGGTTGCCAAGCCGGTCCCTTTCTCGGACAAATCGGCACCTGGGAGAGGAGGAGGAAGAGGAGGAGGAGGAGGAGGAGGAGGAGGAGAAAAAAGGGAAGAGGGGGGGAGGTAGAAGAAGTAGAGAAGGTAGAGATGAGAAGGAAGAAGAGGAAGAAGAGAAGAGGAAGCAGAGGAAATGAAGAAGGAAGTGCAGGAAGAGGAGGAAGGGGGAGGAGGAAGAGGAGGGAGGAGGAATAAAAAGGGGAGGAAGAGGAGGCAGAAGAGGAAAAGGAGAAGAAAGAGAAAAAGAAAAGGATAAGAAGAAGAGGAGGTAAAGGAAAAAGAGGAAGAGGGGAGGTAGAAGACATAGAGGAGGAAGAGATGGGAAGGAAGAGAATTGGAAGAGGGGGAAGTGGAAAAGGAAGTGCAGGAAGAGAAGGAAGAGGGAGGAGAGAAGAGAAGAGGAAGAGGAAGGAGGAGGAACCAAAAGGGGAGGAAGAGGAAGCAGAAGAGGAGAAAGAGAAAGGAACAAGTAGAGGAGAAAGAGGAAAAGAGGAGAATGAGAAGAGGAAGAGGAGGTAAAGGAAAAAGAGGAAGAGGAGGAAGGAAGGGAAAAAAGGAGGGAGGGAGGGAGGAGGTAGAAATAGAAGGGGAAGTGATGAGATGGAAGAAGAGGAAGTGAAGAAGAAAGTTCAGGAAGAGGAGGAAGGGGGTGGTGGAATAGAAGGAGGAAGAGGGGGAACAAGCGGAAGAGGAGGAGGTGGAGGCAGAAGAAGAAAAGGAGAAGGAAGGAGGAAGAGGAAGAAGAGGATAAGGAGAGAAGCGAAAGAGGAAGAGAAGGAACAAGAGGACGAATTTAGAGGAGGAGGAGGAGGAGGAAGAGGGGGGAATAGGAAGAGAAGAACAGGAGGAAGACAACGAGAAAGAGGGATGAGGAAGAAGAGGAAGAGACAAGAAGGAAGACGAGGAAGATGAGAATTTGGACCCAGGAGGAAGAGGAGAAAAAGAGGAAGAGGAGGGTTTGCTCACTAAACAAAACTGTTGTATTTACTAAATGAACACGGCACTCATCATCTCCCAATTAACCAACTGCATAAAAACAAGGGAGAAATGCAGACATCTCTTCACCATACCGGGTAATGGCATCAGGGCAGATTGGGAAAATGGAGTCAAGGAGAAAGGAAACGGGCGAGAATATTGGCCCGAATTAAAAGACAGTGAAGATGGACACACCCCTCCTCTGCCTCGGCTCCTCCGAAGCCCCACGCCCGGCAAGTCGGCCATGGCTGGGGAGCATGGTCTACGGGATACTTACATCCGGGGGGCTCGCTCAGAGGAGAACTCGCAGTGGAAGACGACAATGATGCGCTTATTGCCGGACGACACGAGAGGCTTTTTCAGCAGAAAGTCTTCCACGTCCTGCTCCATCGGAAGGTTGATGGCGCCCTGGAGAGGATGATGATGATGATGAGTAAACCTTGAGTAAACCCCAAGTAGAGAGTTGCCTCAAGCAGACAACTCTTCTGGTTATTGTTCACCACAACTACATAACTTGCTCCACGGGAAAGTTGACAGCACCCTGGAGAGGAGCATGATGAGTAAACCCCAAGTAAACCTTGATCAGGAGGAGGAAGGAGTGAGGAGGGAGGTAGAAATAGAAGGGGAAGATCAGGAGATGAATCTCCTGGTTTTGCTTCACCGCAACTACACAACGCTCGGTGCAAAAGACCCCAGCAGCGTTCAGTTGTGATGTTGTCTGGTTTTCCACAACAAAGGCGGCATGCAAAGTTGTAAAATGGGACGGAACTCAGTAATCACAAATCAGAAGAATCACAATCAAGCTGGAAGGGGCCTTGGAGGTCATCTACTCCAACCCCCTGCTTGAGCAGCGGACCCTTCACCATTTTAGGCCAGTGGCTCTCCAGCCTTTTCTCAAAAACACACACACACACACACACACACACAAAAAGCAACCTCCACTGATGTAGGTCCCGCAATTCTAGGCGAGCCCTTTCCACCGGTCTTCCCTGAACTGTCTTGCTCAGCGACTTCTTCCATTTGGGGCTCCGTGGGGGGGCCGTGAAACTTGAGGACTGTCCTGGGTGAACTCTGTCCAGGGACTTCACTTGGCGGGCAAAGTCCCCGAGTTGGGACCGCCGAGCCCGTCTTTCTCTGCAATGGGCAGGTCCAAACACCCCATCGAGGGTGGGGTGGCTCCTCCCGGTTTGAGCGAAGCGGTTGTTAATTTTATCCCCTTTTTTTTAATGACCGGTTTGGTGAATCCCGCCCCTGGCCGACTCCGCCCACCCTGAAAACCCACGCTTTGGACTGTTTTGGATGCCAGCTAGCGCAGGGCCCGCACCGAGGTTCCGGAAGGCCGGAAACATGCCCATTTTCACCCTCCCAGTGGCTTGAGGAAAGCCTCGGGAGCCCGGGGAGGGCTAACCTCCCCCCCCCCCGCGCCGTGATGCAGGAGGCTGACTAGGCCACGCCCACCGAGCAGCCGGTCAGGGAACCAGTGGCTAAAATTTTTGAAGCCCCCCCCCCATTGC